TGGTGCTGGTGGTGCTGGTGGTGCTGGTGGTGCTGGTGGTGCTGGTGGTGCTGGTGGTGCTGGTGGTGCTGGTGGTGCTGCTGCTGCTGCTGCTGCTGCTGCTGCTGCTGCTGGTGGCGGTGGTGGGGGTGGGCGGCTGCGGCAGTGGGGGTTGTCGTCCTCCACCTGCAGCTACTGCACCTTGTGCCAAACTTCTACGGCCACCGCTGCCGCTTTGGCCGCCAGCGCTAATACTGCTATTACTGCGACTACTTTGACTACCAACACTCAACTGCTTTACCACTACTTCGGCTGCCAGCCACAATAAAAAGTGCATAACTTCCAAATACCATACATACCTGTCATTCGAACCTTCCTGAACATGCCCTCGGGTTGAAGGCTGGGGGCTGCGTTGATGCCCACGTCGATGATCACGCAGCCAGGTTTAAGCCAATCTCCGCCTTAGGGTGAGGCAAAGGTAACCCTACAAAAGTCCAAAAAAGCGCTGTACATGCCCTGTACAACCCTGTTGTGCAGCATGAGATGCAGTTGTTGTCTAGAAGTCAGTTTCTTGCCCATTACTGGTACTACATTCTGACAACTATCAACCCTGCCACCCGAAGCATCTAGATCTACGGCCGCAAATAAAGACAAGCACTTCAGATTTGACAAGAATTTGTGTACATGCAGTGTATGAAACACACCGATGGTGAACAATGCTATGCAGGCGAAGCTTGCCGGGCGGCTGTTCTCTTCTTATACCCTTTTGCTCTTCTGCGTAAAGCTAGATTGGAATGGCTACATATCCGTACGAAGGCGATTAAGTCCTGTGTGTTCTGCCTCTGCCAGAGATGCGTGGCACATGGTTCCAGAAGAATGGCTTCGGAAGTTTGGCACAACGACATGCCGCTGAGGGCACTGCGAACATACTCTGGCTTTCCGAGTGCAGCGACCACCTCATTTTAAAGAGCATACCACGCTGAACTGGCCACAACTCAGGCTCTGTTCAAGCCACATCACTGACCGAAAAAGAGGATCCGGCACCCTATCCGCGCAGCCTCGTTCCAGGTCGAGGCACTATGTCGGCCTCTTTCACGAGCCGCTCCAAGCAAGGGGTGCGGGAGTGACACACGGTCACGGTCGCATCCATGGATTGCAGGATCTGCGCCACGGGCATACCAACAATGTTGGACCTCGCTGAGACATGCAAAAAGCTGAAAATCCGTGATGCCAAAGTCACTAGGTCTCCCTAAACGAACCCTTGTAGAAAAGATAAGGAGTCCTTCCTCTGTCTGTGACTTTGCCTGAAGCTAACATCCATGTGAAAAACTATGCTGATAAGGATCCGACATTTCGAATGCATGTGAAGCGAACCGAGTTTTTGAGAAACCCCCAAATGACCCCAGAACATCCCAATCTGCCAGAGAAGGTGTCCAAAATGAGCATTGCCTTGTCATGTCTCATTTTGCTGTCCTTCTTTTGAGGATTCCATTTCGGAGGGTAATGAGCATGAATGGAAACCAAACATGAGGGAAATATTGCACATGGTTGACTTAAGCCTTTTATGCATGCTGCGTTGACGTCCAAGATCCTGAAGACACTTGCTTTCTGCATGGCGTGTCGCGATACATATTTCTCTGAAATGAGGACGACACTACTACTACCCGCAAGAGGAGCCATGGTGGGACTTCCTTTAACGTACTCTGCTACCCAAGGCAAGTTCCTGGATCTATCGGGGCAATTGGGCCTTCCCAGCACCACTGCCATCTTGCCAGAGACTTGCACGTCACTGCGCTGGAGCAGCTCAATGCAGCCGGCTGGAGTGCAGGGCACCTGGGGAAACTGGGTTGCAGTTAGGGAACATAATTTCAGTTACTATATCAGGGAAAGGATATTAGATACTATGTATATACCCACTATGGTACTTAATTTAAGTTCCTTAGCAGCAACCCAGGAGAGTGTAGCTTCTGGTCTGGTTCGCAGGGCTTGTATTGACGAAATTCTAGCATGCATATACAGCCAGCAAGGAAGGGTATGGCCTTCTTGGCAGTAAATCTCCATGTGTGTATACAGAGATATCTCTATGATCCCCTGGCTTTTGTTGGGGAATCATGCGTTCGTATTTCAACTTTCAACTCACAGGCATTTGCTCAGAACAACCTCAGGTGGATTGGAAAGGGCTCCAATTTCTTCAGCTGCCCCTATGGCAATTATCGATCCAAGTCACTTGCGAGAGATTTACTCCACCCCTTTAAATGCGAGGCAGTTGCTGAAAATCGGACTCGTGTATCACATGTCCGACAACCTCCATGTTGGTTTCTTGCGCAAGCCCTGCTCTTCAAAATACTACGAACTCAATGTTTTTGACCTGCATAAGGCCTGTTTTCAGAAACCCCGCAGCCCCCCATAATCCCGTTGTAGTCATATGTCTCCTCGGCATCACCAAGGGTCCTCCCTTTTCTCATCAACTCCCACATGAGCTGTAATGTAAACTCCTAGTATGCCCCGTAATAACCCCTTTTGCACTCCCCTATACAATCCCCTAGACAACCCCCTTTAAGCAGTTTAGACTATAGCACACATATACCCCTATAACATCCCTATATAACCCCATTACAGTAGCTTCCATTTTCTTTTCCATTATCCCGATATAATCCCCTATATAATCCCTTCAAGGAGTTTAGGCTACACTTTCACTTTCCACGCAGCAAAAGTAAGTCTTTGCTTGGCAAATCTATGGACAGGCTCTTCGGCCCGGCAACTCTAGGCTGCTGTGCAGTGCACATCCAGGACTCCTATCAAAAAGCATGCAGCATCTACCTCGGT